TAACAGAAAACTGACCAGTACTGGTCCGTGGCCCCGGGGGTTGGGACCCCTGGTTTACCACACACTTGGAAATAACAAAATTGTATCAACCCCAAGGCAGAAAGCCAGTTTGCGCCATTCAAAACAAAATTTGAATGCATTTATCCTAACAGGAAGCCAGCAATTACAATGAAGATATTTATAGAAGAGAATGGAATCTGCATATATCTGGAAGCCTAATGTGCCTACCTTTTGCTCTGTGTTCTTCTGCCCTTTAAATGGAGAGACTAGCATCACAGTGTTAAACCTTTTGGCTTTATAATTCCTCAAAGATACACCCAGGAAGGATGTCATTCTATTTAATTCTTTTCTTTTTTAACCCTAAGAAAAGAGGAAACTGTCTGTATAGCTACTTTGGATTGTGAAGAAACCCCAAGGTTCAACAAGAAACATTGAGATTTCACCTAAAGACTTTTCTTTATTTAGGAGTCGGTTGGAAAACTGCTAGGCACCACAAGACAGCTTATTTGCATTCTAGCACGGGCTGTGACTCAAGTCTGTAACTCCAATCATGACTATGTGCATTTCCAGTGGTTGCGTCCCACTGGTGCTTTGTACAGTGCAGTTATATGGTAATTTCCCATGTACTCATGGATGCTGTCACACCAGTGCTCACTTTCCTGGGGCTGTAAGGCAAAGAGGGATTTTTCTCTCAATGCCTAAGCACCTCTTGACAGAGGAAATAGATGAAAACAGAGCACTACCTGTTTTCCTTGGTGGCACCAATTTTAAAGCAGCGTTATTTTAAAACAAAGAGACAGATGGAGAAGTTAAAGAAAATGAATCCTACATTTGCTGTTTGGAAAGCACTTATGGGTAATTGCTGGGGTCTGAGTGATTTGAGGTGGGAAATAGGATGCAGATTTAATGAGATCCAGCCTAAGGGACGATTAGCGGAAGCCCAGAATGGCAATAGTAGAGGGTTCTTTTCATACCTTTTGATTTTGCTTGCTTGACCTCTGTGAAATGACCGAAATTTCTTAGTCTAGTACTATGCGACGCATCCTGCCCCATTTCAATGGCATCCAGGGACACCAATATGCAAGAGCACAGAGGCAAATCAATGGCTGGGAACCTAATGCCTTTCCAGGAATAAAGGTCAGCCTGTTCCATTACAAAAGGGTTGACTGAGATGGCTGTAATATTCCCCTCAGCTCTGCTAAACTTTAGATAGATTTCTTCCTACTATAGCTCCCTGACCTTCCTTTTCTTAGAGCGTTTACTTTAGAAAACTTGCAATTATAAATTCTTTCTCTGCCCCTTTGAAATATATGAAAGTCTTCCCCAACTTTTTGCCAGATTTACAACCCAGGAATGTCTCTCTCAAGGACCTGGGAATCAGCTCTTTGAAATGGAAACTCCGAAGGCAACAGCACCCCTAATTCCCAGCTGTGTGGCAGGGTAGGAACCTAACTTCAATGGAGACCAATTAGGAAACACAGATGGCCTAATTACTGAGACATTTGCAAACTCAGGAATAACCTATCATGCTGGACACATCCCACTGATAAACCTTCTTCGCAGTCTTCCAGTAATTTTCCATTCACTCACCCAGGGCTTAAAAACTCTTCTGCCCTTTTTTGACAGAGTTGAGTTCAGTCTCTCTCCCCTCTATCAATAGTCTTGAATAAAGCCTTCCTTGTCTATTTAACTTTGTCCAGTACAATTTTACTTTGAAAAGGGTCTAGTACAAAAAATTGTGGTGAGGATCTTGACAAACTGGGTGCATTCGTTTGCTGGGCAGCTGTAAAGAAAATGCCATAATAAAATAACAAAATCTCACAGTTTCAGGGGCTGGAAGTCCAAGATTGAGGTGTCAGAAGGGTTGGTTTTGAGATAGTCTGGGATCTGGGACCCTTTACCAGAGTACTTGGGATCTGGTAAAGTACTAGAGTGCTTGCGCCTGGACAAACGTCTCCTGGAGCAACAGAATACAAAGAAACTATAAGGGACTAAAAATAACTGCACGCATGTGCAGTTGGGGCAATTCTATACAATAAGACACGAAAAGGCCACAAACCAACTGACATTCCTGAGGCGCTGAGAGCAAAAGCAGACACTGAGCCTGATCCCTGTACACAGTACCACCAAGGGGGTGGGCAGACGACCTAAGCTACACCTGCTGCCCAACCCAGGAGCCACCCCTGCTGTTACCACATTTAAGGAACAACCTCATGCCCCCATGCCCAGCAAGGGCACCTGTTACTTGTCCTCCCTCCCTCAGGATGCAGCAGGAGTCCCAGTAAAGCCTTGCCTGAATTTGGCCTCTGGCCTCTTATCAGTTTCTGGTGATTAAAGAGTCCAAGGACCTGAGCTGGTAACAGTTTCTCCTGTGACCTCTCTCCTTGCCTTGCAGAGGGCCTCCTCCCTGTGTTTTCAAATGGTCTTTCCTCCGGGCATGAGCATTCCTCCTGTTTCTTTCTGTGCCTAAATTTCCTCTTCGTATAAGGATACCAGTCAGATTGGATTAGGATGGCTTCATTTTAACTTAAATCACCTATTAAAATGCCCTGTATCTCCAAATATAGTCACATTTTGAAGTACTGGGGATTAGGGCTTTGACATACAAACTTGGGGGGACACAATTCAGCCCCCATAGCACAGGAACTCTATTTCTGTTTCTCCTTCTGAGAGGGAATGACATCTAAAAGCTGCATTTTGTGAAATGGCTCCAATCATTTTGTGAAAACTTTTCTCCAGGATAACAACCATGCATATCATATTAGTTTCCTACCCTCAGTACCAAAAGAATAGTAGGTGAATATTCAATGCTTGCCGAATAAATGATATGGAGAGGGCTGGGGGGAGGGGAAGGCAGGGCTACTCAACAGGGAATATGGTTTCGGAAGATGAAGATATTTGTTAACACAAGTTGAACTTTTGTTCCATTACATTACACATCACCTTGAAGTGCCAATCAGTATATCTCTTTTTTAAAATTCTCTAATTGTGTTGGAACTGACATATTACATTTTTTATTGCAAGTGAGAATCAAACAAATATCAACATTGAATTTAATGACAATTTTGATAACTCCAGTTTGGCACTTCTCTTTGAATCGGCCATCATCCATCCACACACACATAAACCAACTTCTAAAAGACCCTGCCTAAGGCCACCCAAACAGTTCTTTGAAAGTGTTCCAAAAGACAGAACATAAAGCTGAGAAGAAAAGTTCCTTTTACAAGTCCACATAAAATCCCCAGTATTATCTCAGACCACATTCTACTTTATCTTGGAAAATGCCAGAAATTGTAAAATCTGAATAGAACAATTCCATTAGTACAAGATATATACTTGTGGAAGGCGTGCTATGTTCTGTGACATTTGACTGCTAATTTAAAGGATTGATAAGAAGATTGCGAGCCAGTGCATCTCATTAGTAGCCCACTGCCTGCCCAAAATTCATCGGTGTTCTCTAAAATAAAAATGTATAAATATAAGCAGAGGCATTTATGAATTGGGACTAAAAACTCCTTTCAGAATGAGAAAGTTGTCCTTGGGCAAGGTGAGGTTAAAAGCCAATTTTTCTGTCGTCAAGCTGTTGGGTGAGCAAGTAAGTAAGGGAATTGTGTACTTGGCTAGTTACATGGAAGTTTTGCTGTCCCAATAAATTTTTTTTTTTTTTTTTTTTGCAGTACGCGGGCCTCTCACTGTTGTGGCCTCTCCCGTTGTGGAGCACAGGCTCCGGACGCTCAGGCTCAACGGCCATGGCTCACGGGCCCAGCCGCTCCGCGGCATGTGGGATCTTCCCGGACCGGGGCACGAACCCGTGTCCCCTGCATCGGCAGGCGGACTCTCAAGCACTGCGCCACCAGGGAAGCCCACGATAAATTTTTGAATAGTATGTGTAAAGATGTACTTCTTTCCCATCTGAATTTATTCTTATCGTGCACGATTTAAGTATGTCCTTTTGTGGGTTTGTTTTTGTTTTATTTTAGTTTTCTAAATTTACCTGAGACACATTTTTAACCTTAAAGAAAGAGATTTTACAGATAGATTTTTCCCCAGAACTCTACAACTTTGCCCACACATACTCATTACTTAACTTTCCTGACCCCAGTGTTTAATGTACTGATTCTGCATATCCATGCGATTCTAGTCACCAGGCCCCTGCTCTTATTCCTTTTTTGTGGTTTTTCTGTGGGTCTTCATTTCTCCCAAAATATTTCCAGTCTCCCAAATCCAAACACAGATCATTGACTTTTCTTTCCCTTATTATTTTTAGCTTTTATCTCATTCTTTCTTCCTTCTCCACTCATCCACTTTTTAGGGGTATTATTTGCCCACATACCAACAATTAATAATAATAATAATTACAGTGCGATTTACTTGGTATTTACTATGTACCAAGAACTAAGTACAATGTATGGATTAATTCATTTACTCTCCACAACAAACTTATGAGGTCATTGCCATTGATTGTTATCACATTTTACAGTTTAGGACTCTGAGGCACAGAGAGGTTAAGTAACTTGCTTAAAGACACACAGGCAGTTAGTGGTAAAATCAGGATTTGAACCTAAGTAGTCAGGCTCCCGAGTCTATGACTAGTATGAGTAGTAGGAATATGAGTAGAAATGATGTATGATAACCCCACAGAAACTTTTCTAGCAATTCTCCATGCATTTTTCTTTCTCAGTCTATCTTTGGGTGATGAAGATCCAGGATAAGGATGCATAGCCCCAAGACTTGCATTAAACTGTTACATGAGTGAGATATTGCGGGTGAGAGATACTAAAAAAAATACAATGCCTTTAGCTTCCAAAACAAGTAAAACAGCTTGTTTAGTACTTATTCAAGGAAGGACCCTAGATTTGAAATCATAAACCTGTTTGGTGGCAAATGGTGTTAATAAGAAGAAAATTTGGATGGCAAGCCTATTTTTTAAAATAAATACCCATCTCCAGAAATTCTTAGCCGTATTTTCCTTTGAGACTGGGTTCTCAAAGTAGACCTACCTTAAGGTCATCTCAGGCAACCTCCTTTAAGCACACAGATGCCACTCTCCTCCTTTCAGAGACATAAAGGAGGGGTCCAGAGGTGATTCAGAGAGGAAGAGCTGGAGCTGCTGTAAGTTGAATTGTCTGCACACATTGGATCAGTTAGAACCATAAATGCAGTGAACTGCAAAAAACAAAGAGCAAATGCAGGGGAAACTAAGATCAGATTGTTAGCATTATGTATGTTTGGATTTAACTTTTAACAAGGTCTTTTGGCACTTTCATTGCTATACAAACTATGTTTTTATAAATTTATTTTAAATTAAATTTTTAAAATTTCTTATACATATACACACCTATGCAGTTTTACATGAATGTTTAAATACGATCCTTACGTATCCTTTTATTTTTTGCTTTGTTGTCTTTTCTGAGTGCCAGCATTTTTCTTTCCCTCTTTGTCCCCGTTATTTCTCCTACTCGACCCAAACTCTTACCCTTCCATTTTCTCCGTGATTTAAAAATAATATGTAAATACACACATTCATATACTAGACAAATATATGTACATAATGATAAATCTACATATAAACTCATGTATAAATATATACGCATATTATGCATATACAGTCAAGCATATGCACATATATACATCTATAAATATATAAATATACACATATGTGTATTTATAGATGTATATATGTATATCCCTTTCCTCCCATCAAAGTCTGCCTCTTAGGTCATCAGTGCTAATTCCACCACTCTCTTATCCCTCTTTAATGGGTAGCCACCCATTACCCAAAGATCCCAGGTTCATCTCAGTCTCTCAGCTCCATATTCTCTGCAATTCTGTTCTCCCACTTGCCCTGTGCTCTCTGGAACTTAAGGTCCATCATCAACAAAGTCCACTCTCTTCCCATTCTTTTCTTTGACTCTTTCCTTCACCTGTATATCAGTTTCCTATGTAACAAACTTCTACAAACTCAGTAACCTAAACAACAGAAATTTACTCTCTCAATTCTTGAGCCCAGAAATTTGAAATCAATATCACTGGGCTGAAATTAAAGTGTTAGCAGGACTGTGTTCACTCCAGAGGTTCTAGGGGAGAATCAATTCCTTGCCTCTTAAAGGTTCTGGTGGCTGCTGGCATTACTTGTCTTCTCACACCACTCTAAATTTCAAAGTAAGCATCTTCCAATCTCTCTGATCCATCTCCACACCACCTTCTCTTGGGATCTTCTCTTCTATTTGTGTTAAATCTCCCTCTGCCTCTGTCTCTTATAAGGATACCTGTGATTGCAATTAGGACCCACGTGGATAATCCAGGATCATCGCCCACCTCAAGATCCCTAACTTAATCACATTTGCAGAGACCTTTTTTTTCTGAATGATTAGGTAACATTTACAGGTTCCAGTATTAGGAACCGATCTTTTTGCAACGACAAAAGCCAACCACAATCTGCTTTCTGTATCTCAAACCTGATTCTTCCCTGTGAAAACTGCTTCTTCTGCAGCACCCTCAGAGGGGGCTGGGTTTTGTTTATGTTTAATCTCCCATAGGCCAGAAGTAACTGTCTTCCTCATTCCTGTCAACAGCACTGTCCCTCTCTCCTTCCAAAGGAATGCTAACCTTAAAGCTCATTCTTTCATACTAAGCCATTCACTCCCACCCTGCCCTTTCAGCAGTCTTCTACAGACCCTCAAGCTACTCCTCAAGATATTGTTACACAGCGTGCTCTCACTCCTCCCACGTGATTTCAATATCCATGTAAAGTGAGCTTGTTTCGCAGTCTTTTAACCTCCTCTCCTTTAATGATCTTGAAATTTCATTCTATCTCAGTTTTTCAGTTCTATGACTGTCTACTAGATCCTGTCAATAATAATAAAAAACTACATCCCTTTCACAATCTTGAATTTTAAGTGCTCCACTCTCTGACCATTGCCTTCAATCTCTTCAGCTCATTCCCTTTAATACTCAAACTCCAAAAAAGCTATGGTCTGTCTGGGACCTATAATTTCTTGAGCCTATCACCTGTCTTTATCCATCATCCCTTTTATGTCATACTTCCTCCCCCGCTTCACTCAGGGCCAATCTTTGTGTCACCCTACCCTGTTTATATTCAACACTACCTACTCCAGATGTGTCCCTAGGCTGCTGAATGTGGCTGGAGAAAAATCTTCGTTGTACTCACCTTAAATGTATAACCTCAACAAGAACATTAGTGCTGACAGGAAATCCTACTGCATTTCTGTACTCATTCACTCTACCGCTCTCCTAGATGTTTATTCCTTACTTTTTCCTCTCTCTTCAAACTTCCAGTACTTCCTTCCATGTTCACCCTCACACATCACCTCTGTGCCAACACCCAGAATCTGTACCATATACTCTGCTTTCCTCTTTGTTTATGATACAGGAAGAGTTATGCACCTTCTAAGACCATTCCCTTCATCTGTGTACTAAAATCCATTTCCACTTATTCACTTTAAAACATCAGTCTAGCAATTGTCTCCTTATTCTTCCATCAACAATCTTCCTCTACCAGATTGTTTTCATCAGCATACAACCATTCTGAAATATCTACCATCTTAAAAGTCAACACGAAACAAAGCACCCCCTATCAGCTACTGCTATATTACTGTATTATCCTTTCTTTTCTTAAATCAAAACTCTCTTGCAAGATTTGACCGCAGTTGTCTCTTATTTCCCCCATTTTCCCCTTCTGTCTTGAACACTCTCCAATCAGGTTTCCATCCCCATTACAATAAAAAAATCTTGAAAAGATTACAAATGCATAAATTATTTCCATGTTACTAAAGCCAATGGCCCATTCTACTCTATCCAGCAGTAACTGTTGCCACTCCTCTTCTTGAACCGCTTTCTTTATCTGGCTTCCTGGAACTTGCTCCCTTGTTTCTCTTCCTGCGGCACTTACTAATCATTCTTCTTCAGTCACCCTTGTTGGCTGCTCCCCTACCCCTAGGGTTTGGCCTTTGTCTGGTCACTATTCTATAACCAATGCAGAGAATCAAATACAATGAATAAATATACGGGACACTTTTTGTTTTTGTTCTATTAAAATAGGGCCATATCATTCACAGTTTTCTATATATTGCTATTTTAATGCAACAACCCTTCATGGAAATTCCTCTAAGTCAATTGGTATAGCTCTAATTCATTCTTCCTAATGTCTGGATCATATTCTGGATCATATTCTGTGGAGTAGATATGCAATAATTTATTAAACCATTTCCATCTTATGGGCACTTCTTTGTATGCAGTTCCCTTATACCTCATTTCCTCATTTCTTCATCTCCCCTTTTAAAATGAGAATAATAATATTTTTTATCTCAGTAGGTGGTTGTGAAGATTAAATGAATTAGTGCATTAAAATAACATAGAAGAATGCCTAGTACAGAGCATGACTTGATAAGTATTATCTGTGTTCTTAATGGTAGTAGTAAATATTTGTTAAAATTGAGTTCTCAAGTCATTCTATGAAGCTACCACCACCCTGATAACAAAACCAGACAAAGACACTACCAAGAAAGAAAATTACAGGCCAATATCTTTGATGAATAGAGATGCAAAAATCCTCAACAAAATACTAGCAAACTGAATCCAACAACACATAAAAAGGATCATACACCATCATTAAGTTGAATTCATCCCAGGGTCACAAGAAAGATTCAACATATGCAAATCAACCAATGTGATAGACCACATCAACAAAAGAAAAGACAAAACCCACATGATCATCTCAATAGATGCCGAAAAAGTATCTGAAAAAATTCAACATCCCTTCATCATAAAAACTCTCACCAGAGTGGGTATAGAGAGAACACATCTCAACATAATAAAAGCCATTAATGACAAACCCACAGTCAACATAATACTCAACAGTGAAAAGGTAAAAGGCTTCCTGCTAAAATCTGGAACAAGACAGGATGCCTACTCTCACAACTTCTATTCAACCTAGTATTGGAAGTCCTAGCCACAGCAGTCACATGAGAAAAAGAAATAAAATGTATCCAAATTGGAAGGGAAGTGGTAAAATTGTCATTATGTGTAGATGGCATAATACTCTATATAGAAAACCCTAAAGACTCCACACAAAAACTATTAGAACTGATAAACGAATTCAGCAAGGTAGCAGGATACAAGATTAACATACAGAAATCTGCTGCATTTCTTTACATTAACAGTGAAATATCAGAAAGAGAAAGTAAAAAAACAATGCCTTTTAAAATCATGTAAAAAAAAAAAAACCTGACCAGTGAGGTGAAAGACTTATATGCCAAGAACTATAAAACACTGATAAAGAAAACTGAAGATGATTCAAAGAACTGGAAAGATATCCCATGCTCTTGAATTGAAAGAATTAATATTGTTAAAATTGCCATGATACCCAAAGCAATCTACAGAGTTAATATGATCACTATCAAATTACCAATGACATTTTCCACAGAACTAGAACAAACAATCCTAAAATTTATATGGAACCATAAAACACCCAGAATTGGCAAAGCAATCCTGAAGAAAAAGAACAAAGCTGGAGGCATAAACCTCCTAGACTTCAGACAATACTACAAAGCTACAGTAATCAAAACAGCATAGGGCTTCCCTGGTGGCGCAGTGGTTGAGAGTCCGCCTGCCGATGCAGGGGACATGGGTTCGTGCCCCGGTCCGGGAAGATCCCACATGCTGCAGAGCGGCTGGGCTCGTGAGCCATGGCCACTGAGCCTGCGCGTCCGGAGCCTGTGCTCCATAACGGGAGAGGCCGCAACAGTGAGAGGCCCGCATACCGCTAAAAAACAAAACAAAACAAAACAAACAGCATAGTATTGGCACAAAAACAGACATATGGATCACAGGAACAGAACAGACAGCCCAGAAATAAACCCACACACCTATGCTCAATTAATCTTCATTAAAGAAGACAAGAATTTACAATGGGGAAAAGACAGTCTCTTCAATAAGTGGTGCTCGGAAAACAGGACAGCTACATGTAAAAGAATGAAATTAGAACATTCCCTAACATTATGCACAAAAATAAACTCAAAATGGATTGAAGACCTAAATGTAAGACTGGATGCTATAAAACTCCTAGAGGAAAATATAGGCAGCACACTCTTTGACATAAATAGCAACAATATCTTTTTGGATCTGTCTCCTAGACTAATGGAAATAAAAGCAAAAATAAAAAAATGGGACCTAATTAAACGTAAAAGCTTTTGCACAGCAAAGGAAACCATAAACAAAATGAAAAGACAACCTACGAACTGGGAGAAAATATTTGTAAATGATGTGACTGACAAGGGATTAATTTCCAAAATATACAAACAGCTTATACAGCTCAATATCAAAAAAACAACCCAATAAAATATGGGCAGAAGACCTAAATAGACATTTCTCCAAAGAAGACATACAGATGGCCAATAGGCACAAGAAAAGATGTTCAACATTGCTAATTATTAGAGAAATGCAAATTAAAACTACAATGAGGTACCACCTCACACCAGTCAGAATGGCCATAATCAAAGTCTACAAATAATAAATGCTGGAGAGGGTGTGGAGAAAAGGGAACCCTCCTACATTGTTGGTGGGAATGTAAATTGATACAGCCACTAGGGAGAATAGTATGGAGGTTCCTTAAAAAACTAAAAATAGAGTTGCCATATGATCCAGCAATCCCACTCCTGGGCATATGTCCAGAAAAGATGAAAACTCTTATTTGAAAAGATACATGCACCCCAATGTTCATAGCAGCACCACTTACAATAGCCAAGACATGGAAGCAACCTAAATATCCATCAACAGATGAGTGGCTAAAGAAGATGTGGTATGTATATACACACACACACTCACACACACACACACACACACACACACACACACACACACACAAAGGAATATTACTGAGCCTTAAAAAAGAGTGAAATAATGCCATTTGCAGCAACATGGATGGACCTAGAGATTATCACATTGTGTGGGCCAAAAGGTTTGAACGTTTTTTTCTGTAAGATGGCTCTAGTAGCACTTAGTTGTCTTCAACTTCATTTGAAACAATTTTGTTAGATTGTATGTGACAGCTGTCATATCAGCATGCATTTAAAAAAAGACTTATCAAAATTGGTGAATTTTTGTGTAGACATTTTAAAATTGAAGATGACGGAAAAAAGCAACGTTTTTGGCATATTATGCTTTATTATTTCAAGAAAGGTAAAAACGCAACTGAAATGCACAAAAAAAATTGTGCAGTGTATGGAGAAGGTGCTGTGACTGATTGAATGTGTCAAAAGTGGTTTGCGAAGTTTCATGCTCGAGATTTCTCGCTTGGACGATGCTCCACAGTCGGGTAGACCAGTTAAAGTTGATAGTGATCAGATCGAGACATTATTTGAGAACAATCAATGTTATACTATGCAGGAGATAGCTGACATACTCAAAATATCCAAATCAAGTGCTGAAAATCATTTACACCAGCTTGTTTATGTTCATCACTTTGATGTTTGGGTTCTGCATAAGTTAAGTGAAAAAAACCTTTTTGACCATATTTCCACATGTGATTCTCTACTTAAACGTAATGAAAACCTTCCGTTTTTAAGACAAATTCTGATGGGTGATGAAAAGTGGATACTGTACAATAATGTGGAATGGAAGAGATCATGGGGCAAGAGAAATGAACCACCACCAACCACACCACAGGCCGGTCTTCATCCAAAGAAGGTGATGTGTATATGGTGGGATTGGAAGGCAGTCCTCTATTATGAGCTACTTCTGGAAAACTAAACGATTAATTCCAAGTACTGCTCCCAATTAGAACAACTGAAAGCAGCACTCAATGAAAAGCATCCAGAATTAGTCAACAGAAAAAACATAATCTTCCATCAGGATAACGCAAAACCGCATGTTTCTTTGATGACCAGGCAAAAACTGTTACAGCTTGGCTGAGAAGTTCTGATTCATCCACCGTATTCACCAGACATTGCACCTTTGGATTTCCATTTACTTCGGTCTTTACAAAATTCTCTTAATGGAAAAAATTTCAATTCCCTGGAAGACTGTAAAAGGCACCTGAAACAGTTCTTTGCTCAAAGAGATAAAAAGTTTTGGGAAGATGGAATTATGAAGTTGCCTGAAAAATGGCAGAAGGTAGTGGAAAAAAAAAGGGTTAATATGTTGTTCAATAAAGTTCTTTGTGAAAATGAAAAATGTGTCTTTTATTTTTACTTAAAAAACCGAAGGCACTTTTTGGCCCACCCTATACTAAGTGAAGTAAGTCAGACAGAGAAAGACATATCATATCAAATATCATATCACTTAGATGTGGAATCTAAAAAAATCATACAAATGAATTTATTTATAAAACAGAAATAGACTCACAGACATAGAAAACAAATTTATGGTTACCAAAGGGGAAAGGGTAGGGAAGGAATAAATTAGGAGTTTGGGATTAGGAGATAGACACTACTACATATAAAATAGATAACCAACAAGGACCTACTGTATAGCACAGGGAACTATATTCAATATCTTGTAATAACCTATAATGGAAAAGAATCTGAAAAAGAATATATATATTCTTTGCCGAATCACTTTGCTGTACACCTGAAACTAACACAACATTGTAAATCAATAAAATACTTCAATAAAAAAAAGAAAAATAATTTAGTTCTCATTATTTACATCTGCTTCAAATATAATTATCTTCTTTATTAAGGAAGAAAAATTAAAGGAATGGTTTGTTATTTATATTTAACAAAGTAAAGTTATATCTAAAAGGGATTTATAAATATGGAATCATTTTGGTCTTAGCTATCGCTATAAAAAATGCTGAATTTCTTTTTACCATTGCTTCTTAGTAATTCTGATAATGCCCAATGCAAATATGTTTCTGTTCCCAGTGAAATTTTAATAATTTTTCAAGGAATTGTTGTTGAAAATATTTAACAATAGTAAATTAACTAAAGGTATATTTTTCTTTTCTTTTTTTAGAAAAACAAATAGTTATTTATCTTTCTGTTAAGTTTTTAATACTATCAGTCAAGAAAAGGCATGAAGTTTTGGCCTTAAACTCTTTCTCCTATAAATCTACTGCTCTGTATCAGGATTACTGGATGGAGTGTTAATTAGCCTCAAGTATCTGAACTGTTTGGGGCAGTACCAAGAACTGTCCATCAATATTCATTTCAGAGACACAACCTCTGAGCACAAAGGAAGGTCAAGTGTATCTGAAGAAAGGGAAATTATAGAAAAATGTTTATTTCTTCTCCCCATCACTCTCATGTTTGTTGTCATGGTTCAGGGAAATTTACATGACATCAGGGAAATTTTCCTTTTATCTGTTTTAGAGCCTACCCAGCAGTCATGACATTCATTAATCCATCTCTTTAGTCATTCATTTATTTATTCAACAAGTATTTATGGAGTGCCTGGTGTGTTCCAGCCATTGTTCTAAGAACTGGGGAAAGAACATAAGAAAAACAAACAGAAGCAAAAAACATCGCCAAAAAACAAAGTTCCTGCCTTTCTTGCTTTTGAGGAAGGTACATCCTGGTGGGGATTTCAAACAATAAGCAAGTAGGTAAATAAATCTATAACATACCCAGGAGTCATAGATGCTACGTCTACGGAAAAGGCCACACTGATGAGGTATCTCATTTGCACAGGGACTTACAGGAAGCCAGGGAGCCACTGCTGCGGAGGCCTACAGGAAGAGTTCAGAGTACAGACAGGAGACACCAAGATTACAAACGTGCTTGAAATGTTTGAAAACTGGCAAGAAGGCCAGTGAGTCTGAGCACGGAGCATGGGGAAGAGCTCTGAGAGATATGGTCAGAAGGAAGCTGGGAGGGGGGTGGCAGGCAGATCATGTGGGACTTTGCAGATCAGAGTAAGAACTTTGGACTTTACATGTGAAAGGAAGACATCAGAGAGGTGAGGATAGGCAGAGGTTTCTACTTACATTTTAAAAGGATATTATTTTTATTCTTTCCTTTGCCAAAATCATTATCTCTTCAATCGCTGCATTTACCATACCTCTACCAGAACTTGGGTAAAGTTGAAAACTTGCTCCACTCACTAGTGTGGTACCTGATGGTGTTAAACATCTCCATCTATGGGGTGTAATTGGCTAGATGCCTCTGGAGCCACTTCTAATGCCCCATAAAAAGACCAGCTGGGTCTTGTGGAGTTCTCTCCAAGAAAATGAAAATTAGAATCTCTGGCCTCAATTTGAGTGAAGATTTAAGCCACAATTGTAAGCAAGGCTTTATTCATTCTTTTCTTTTTTCATTCACTAATTCCATAAATGTACATTGAATGTCTATTCTGTGCCATCACTATGCTGAGCATTGAAGATACAACCATACGTGAGATTGACAAGGTTTTTATCCTCACAGAGCTTTTAGTCTACTGATTTACATATGACTAGGGCATGCTGTTCCAGGACAAAAGTAATTAGACCTACTCCTCTAGTTTCAGAGAGCACCCATCTTACACCAATGTATTATACAAACTGAATCCTTGAATGGTCATGCATTTGCCAGGCATCTATATTTATAACAATGAGATGTCTGGATTTATAGTTATCATTGAATAAATACTTTGTGGCATGTTCTTGGTAGTAGTACCATCTTCAGGCAAAAGGCAGTTTCAAGCTTCTAAGTGAAGGCACTTTGCCTTTGCACACTGGCTATTAACTTATTATGTCTTTAATTATCTAAGACTTTAAAATAACTTATTAAATTTAAGCATTAAAGACAAAAAGGCAATCATGCCTTATGAAATGAAATATATACAAGGGGACTAAAATCTCACTCTCCTCTAAGAGAGCCAACAGAGAAGTAACTCGAGATTTGGGATGTGAAATCAAATCATCTTCTCTCTACTTGAGGGAACTGACTATTTTAAGGGTTTATGAAGAGGCTAAAAAATATCTCTCATAGCTTTATGTAGGCATAAATGGATTCAAAATGTGACCAAATCATGTTATTCAGTAAATGAAACTGTTAATAAACCCACAAGCATTTGCTGAGAATCTATATAGAGAACTGAGGCTGTTCTTTGATTCTTTCTGAGGATGCCTGGGTGCCTGACTTTGGCTCTTGGCCAAGATAAGGGCAGTGGGATTTATGAGGTGCTGTTTAAAGTTCAAAACTCCCCTGAGGACAGCTAAGCTGGCTTGTTTACTGATGGCTTTCCCCTGTGTGATGGTAAATTTTAAGTGTCAACTTGACTGAGCCAAAGGATGCCCAGATAAGCTAGTAAAACATTATTTCTGGATTTGTCTGTAAGGGTGTTTTGGGGAGGGATTGGCATTTGGAGCAGTAGACTGAGTAAAGATTTGCCCTCACCAATGCCGGTGGGCATCATCTTTTATAATCTAATTCTTTGAGGGCTTGAGTAGAACAAGTCAATTTGTACCATCAGAAGAGATCAGGCTGGGTGATCAGGAGTCTGAGGGGAGTTGTCTCAAAAAAGAATAATAATCTCTAACCCAGTTTCTAGACCTTGGGCTGTTTTCCATCCAGAACTCACTGATTGAAAAAAGGCTGGGTTCCTAGGAGGAAGGAGCCACAGCAAATGCACGTGATAACGATTCACCCAGTTCTTCCCCAAAGGCACTTAGTGCCATTTACTTAGATAAGTGCACACTGGAAAAAGGGAAATAAGCAAACATTTCCAAGACTGTTAGGTACACAGTGATACCAGGAGATCCAAAGCACCATCATGTTCCCATCCTACCCTCTGGTTATAGTGACAGCATATAGTACCCATGTGATAAATGAGATTTTAGCTAAAGTTTGTCTCACCTGGGATCACAGGTGCACCTGGTGATCATTTCCCCAGTTCCATAATATTTACTTGGGATGGAAATACTTGGGAGTTGGCACAATCTCCATATTGGATATTTGACCTGTGGATTATATCATAGTGGGTAAGGCCAAGTGGAAGCATCTAATGCTTTATATCTTGTAACCAACATAATAAATACTACATCTGGGGGAGGAGAAGGATGGCATAAATGAGTCCCATCTCTTAGAGTGGTGTTCCCTATCATATCTCCACTTAATTCTTCAGTCTGACCCACGCAGAAACTAGAATAAATATAGACTACTGAAAGCTCAACCAATTAATAAACCTGCCTACAACTGTTGTGACTTGGTATTTTGCTAGAGCAGGTTTATATGGCCTGAGGTACTTGCAGCATTCCTATGAAAGAAGAGGATCAGAAACAGTTGGTATTCCAACGGAACAGAAAATAGTACACAGCTAAGGTTTTGACCTTGGACTAGCTTAACTTTTCTGCTCTCTGTCATAAGGGGAATCTAAAGAGATCTGGATCATCTAGATATCCTGCCAGAACATCCCAGTGCGGAATATGCTTCCACCAGAATCTGAAGGACCCCATCAGGTTTTGTTTTATTCCCCATGGTAGGAAGTGCACAGTGCAAAATTTGTCCTTTAATTTGGATAGGATGTCTCAAAATGCCCCTGACCACTGAACGCCTGAAAATTTTACTGATCTGTCAGGCCTCTAGATTTCTGTAAAGTTCATCCCTCCAGCAACTGGATCTCATGTGTTTTAACAATCACTCTAAAGCCCTAGCCTCTTCTTGTGTATCTGGCCTAGTAAGCGTGGTGACTTTAATACAGTCAGGTCTGTATGGCACACGTGGCAAGATTTCTTCCACCTCAACCTGAACCTCCTGCAGGACCCTTTCCTATAGGCCACCACTCAAAACTGGCAGACATCCATGAGGACCAACTGGACTTAGCACATGACATCACATTGATCAACTATGCAGACAACGTCATGCTAAGTCATAAGGTTGAGCAGGCCTAGCAACAATTCACTGTAAGATGGAAGTGATACATCCAGCACCGAGCATGAGTGGGATGAGGGGGCACAAACAAACTACACGAGCAGGTAGCCCTGACTCTCATGTTCAACACTATTGCATCAGCGCCCCTCTTTCAACTCATACTTAAGGTCTTATAGGGTATCTCTTAGGACCCGCTAATGGAGGAAGAAAAGCCTGAGTTCTTGACAGATGAGTCACTTTGGTATTTGGATGCAAGCCTAAAGTGGACAGTGGCTGTACTCAAGGCTTAATCAGGGGTGGCCCTGAAAGATAGAGATGAGAGGATAACCCTTTCAATGGATAGTGCAGAGGTCATCCACTTTGTTGGACGGAGAACTTACCCAACATTAGGAGATTAACAGAAAGTGGATCATGGACAGTGGAGAATGTCACTGCTGGTTGATCACACGTATGGAAGGAGAAAGACTGGAAATTTGAAGATAAGGAGGTCTGAGATAGAGGCATGTAGATGGCCATAGCATGGCTTACAGTATTCTCTCCTTGTACCCAATATCAATCATATTTTATGTTTGAACATCTGAATAACTTTTTGCACAATAATTTATGTCCTACGATGACTTTTCTAAATTCTGACTGCATTTTGTTCCAAATTAGTTAGAAAATTTTAAGCAACATGTTCATAAATGGAGTGCCAAAAAAGTCCAGTGTCTGAAGCTCTCAGCATATTACAATTATTGAAAACAAAGCTTGCAAGCAGTAAGATAGTGAAATTTACCCTTGAAAAAGAGAGAAACGATAAGTTAACTTGTTAGAGCTCAATGTGCAAGATTTAATTTTGAATTTCAAAAATTGCACTTTTGAGTATCTCAACTTAGAAGAATCTTTTGATGGAGCTCCTATTTTTAATCATATATATGTATATTTTGCATCAAAATGAAATGAAATTGAGAAGGCCTGTTATTTTACATCATATATGTTTTGTGAAATATTCAAGAGAATCATAAATAGTAACAATTTACTTCTCAGGTTTTATCCTATAAGAATATTTGTTGAAGAAAGATACTCTAAATGGAGGAAAAATGATAATATATATGAAAATGTTTGGGCTAAAATATTTACACATTTAAAAAATAACAGAATTTTTTTCCATTCAGTAGAATTTTTCCAAGCTTATTAGGTAATGGAGCAATAATAAAGAAAGATCTTCCTCAATTAAAACTTTATGTTTTACAGAGAAGAGACAAGAATATCAAATTTATTAATCCTAAAGTGCAAATTTAAAAAATGTTGCAGGCAATTAAAAATGAAAATAATTTACCATATAGAAAAAATATAATTTTCAGAAAATACCAGTAACAATATTAAAAATGGATACAGATAAGAAACTGATTAAAGTGCATGAATATGTACACAATTATTCTGCTTATATTCTATTCATAAGATAATCACTGTAAAAGAAATTTAAAAAATTTTTGCTTTATTTTACATTTTATGTACATTTAAAAAATTCTTACTTTAAAGAGAATTTAAAATTCTTATTTTAGAAAAAATTTAATTTTGAAAATAGTTTTGAATAGAACTATTTTATAGGCCAGTCAAAATAATAAACCAATATATACATTTTTAATTATATAATTTTAATTGATTTTAGTGTCCCTTCTTATTCTCAAAACTATCCTGTTTGGAATATAAATTATTTACATCTTTGTGATACAGATCAACAAAAAACAAAGTATCTCTTTCAGAATTCATGTTCTTTTCATGGCAAAGAATGGAAGAATTCTAATAATTCTAATATTCTAATAATTTCCATTAAATACCTCTGATCATGTCACACACATAATTTCAACTAATTCTCACAAAAACCCTGCTCTAGATATTATTTTCTCCATTTAAAATGCAAAGAAAAGGAGTCTTAGAAGGAAAAATGCTGAAGATCACATAGCTATTAATTTGCAAGGACAGAATTAAGACTTCGCTTTGCCTGCCTCTAAAGTCCAAGTTCTCAATTATTATGCTATATATTGGAGGCCAGATATTTATTATTAAAATCATACTTGATGTAATGTGATTATGAAATTGAAAATACAGAAAAAAATTTTTTTAATCTGTGGTAAAACCCAGAAATAACTTTGTTAGTACTTGGGGTATTTCCTCAATTATTTTTCTGTGCGTGACTTTGTATTTAAGTGACTGAGATCATACATTCCTTTAGTCTGAGAGAAGAAACAATGTGATAAAAACTGACAATAATCATCCAAATCTCTTTGGGGTGTTGTCCTTATGGCAATTTAGTCTTATCCCATTAAGTGCTGATTTTTGCACCACAAAAACAAACAAACAACAACAAAACCCATTCTGGATATCTGAACTCTTTGCTCTGGCTAGAACTTCCAATACTATGTTGAATAGAAGTGGTGAAAGCAGGGATCCTTTCCTTGCTCCTGATCTTAGAGAAAAAGCTTCAAGCCTTTCACCATTGAATATAATGATCACTGTGGATTTTTCATACATGGCTTTTATTATGTTGAAGTTTTTTTCCTTCTATCCTCGTTTGTTGAGTGTTTTTCTTTTTGTTATCAAAAAAGGGTGTTCTATTTTGTTAAATGCTTTTACTGCATCAACTGATATTATTGTGGTTTTTTCCCTCTATTTTCTTAATGTGGTACATTACAGTGATCGATTTCCATATCCTGCACCTTCTTGGTATCACAGAAATAAATCCCACTTAGTCATGGTATATAATCCCTTTAATACACTGCTGAATTCAGTTTGCTAGAATTTCGTTGAGGATTTTCTGTCTATGTTCATAAGGGACACTGATTCATAGTTATATTATAGTGTCTTTTTCTGGCTTTATCAGTGACTTCAATATCCTTTTTTGTGAAGTACCTGTTCAGGTCTTATGCCCATTTAAAAAAAAATTGTGCATCTTTCCTATTTGTGTTGTATTGTATGCATTATTTATGTATCCTGTATATAAGTCCTCTGACAAATATAGTTTTATAAATCTCTGCTCCTCATCAGTGGCTTTCCTCTTTGGTATAGTAAGTGGTATGATTCAACGAACAAAACGATTATTCTTTCATAGTGATTTTTGTGTGCCACTTAAAAAAAATTGCCTATTCTGGAGAGACCTTAAAGATGGCAGAGGAGTAAGACATGGAGATCACCTTCCTCCCCACAAATACATCAAAATTACATCTACATGAGGAACAAAACCTACAGAACACCTACTGAATGCTGGCAGAAGACCTCAGACTTCCCAAAAGGCAAGAAACTCCCCACGTACCTGGCCGTGTGGCTAACAAGGTCTTGGTACTCCAGCCTAATGTCAGGCCAGAGCCTCTGAGGTGGGAGGGCCGAGTTCAGGACACTGAACCACCAGAGACCGCCTGGCCCCATGTAATATCAATCAGCGAGAGCTATCCCAGAGATCTCCATCTCAACGCTAAGACCCAGCTCCACCCAACGGCCAGCCAGCTCCAGTGCTGGATGCCCCATGCCAAACAACTAGCAAGACAGGAACACAACCCCACCCATTAGCAGAGAGGCTGATTAAAATCATACTAAGTTCACAGACACCTCAAAACACACCACCGGACGCAGTCCTGCCCACCAGAAAGAAAAGATCCAACCCCACTCACCAGAACACAGGCACCAGTCCCCTCTACCAGGAAGCCTACACAAGCCACTGAATCAACCTTACCCACTGGGGGCAGAAACCGAAAACAACAGGAACTACACCTTCAGCCTGTTAAGAGAAGACCCCCAAACACAGTAAGTTAAGCAAAATGAGAAGACAGAGAAATACACAGCAGACGAAGGAGCAAGGTAAAAACCCACCAGACCAAACAAATGAGGAGGAAAAAGGCAGTCTACCTGAGAAAGAATTCAGAGTAATGACAGTAAAGACGATCCAAAATCTTGGACATAGAATGGAGAAAATACAAGAAACATTTAACAAGGACCTAGAAGAACTAAAGAACAAACAAACAATGATGAACAACACAAAATGAAATTTAAAATTCTCTAGAAGGAATCAATAACAGGCAGAAGAACGGATAAATGACCTGGAAGATAAAATAGT